GGGGATACTGAAGGTCCACCTCCCAGGGGATACTGAAGGACAACCTCCCAGGGGATACTGAAGGACCACCTCCCAGGGGATACTGAAGGACCACCTCCCGGGGGATACTGAAGGACTACCTCCCAGGGGATATTGAGGGACCACCTCCCAGGGGATACTGAAGCACCACCCAGGGGATACTGAAGTTACACCTCCCGGGGGATACTGAAGGACTACCTCCCAGGGGATACTGAAGGACCACCTTTCCCGGGGGATACTGAAGGACTACCTCCCAGGGGATACTGAAGTTACACCACCTTCCGGGGGATACTGAAGGACTACCTCCCAGGGGATACTGAAGTTACACCTTCCGGGGGATACTGAAGGACTACCTCCCAGGGGATACTGAAGGACCACCTCCCTCCACCACCTCCACCTGCATCCCGATTATGTAATAACCCGACTATAAAACAGAAAATGAACAGTACAGTAAAGGAGCAAACTCAAACGAAAAGAGTAAATTAATGTACCTCTCGTGAGATCTTGCATAAGCCGGCGTGGCTGAAACGTACTGCGCTCCAAGATCTGCGGTACATCGAGAATCACTCGGGTTTCTATTGGTCGTCATTCGTCCCCCAGCTCCCCGTGACTTCTCCCATACGGTAATGTTTAACACATCCTTGGGAAACTTTCGGCGAAGTAAATTAGCTGTTACTGATCCTGTGAGACCTGCACCGACAATAAGCAATCGGTGAGGCGATGGCATTTTGTCGTCAACGTTCATATAAACAGTCAACAGAATCACAAAAGTATTTTTAGCGCAGTGCAAGAGAATTCTATTGCGCAACTACTCACGTCGTATAACACAACACGAAAAGTCTCAAGACACCTGACGGTCAGCCTTGTCAGCGGGTAACCCCATGGATGTATGAACACTTTCAGGAAGAGAATGAAATGGACAGCGTTACAAATTGTTTTTTTGAAGGTTTCTCACGGAAATCTTGGCTATGGCCTTGGTTTTACGCTCGAATTTTACTCCTGTGGAATGTAAATGTAAATTGAACGTGGAGATTTTGAGCATCGTCCCGAAAGATCGCAAAAATGCAGTTTGTTCGTAAGCTTGTTGGGAGACCCGGTCGACCAGTGTCGAACTTTCATCAATCGGAGAGTGAAGATGAAGCTCTTTCGCTGAGGCATTTACGAAAGCTTTTTATGGAATTCCGACATTCACCTGTACCACTTACTGTCCGTGAACAGGAATCGAAGCTTTATATGATGTTACCTTTGTTTTGCAAGGTTTTTTGGACATGCCAAACCATGTACTATGACCGAGAAGTTTGGCGACGTTTGCCAGTTCGCGGCCCACGTTTCGAAACTCATGGTGAATGAAATTCGTCGGAGAGCCGCAAAGCAAACGAACGAATCTGCTAGTAAAAGGATTATTGATTTTCTTATGCGCGATTCTGCAGAGGATACCGTTTCTGGTTGGAATCTTTTGAACACACTGAACATTCTTGCTTCCGCAGACACCCCTGTTGTGGAATGTATGGTGGCCGCCAGTTTACCATCAAACATGGTGAAATGTCTTTATTTGTTCTACGATTTACCTCCACTTGAGGGAAATAATGAAAAGAGTATCGAAGACCTGCGAGATGATGTGTCGACGATACAAAAGTTATACACTCAAGTTCTTGTAAAACTTTGCAATTATTACGCGACGTCACGCGAGCTTGTGGACACTGATGACCTCGCTTTGCTTTTTACGTCGATATCGTGTTCGATCCCGAAACACAATGTACAGTGGCGTAGCTGTGTGTCGGAAATTTGATGACTTTAACTCGCCATGGTTTAGACAGGGATGCAGTTCACTACATTCACAGTAAGTACGGATCGATTCGTCTGAAAAATATAAATTGATACAGTTGTAAAAGTGCTTAATTGATTTATTGTCTGTAAGATATACGCCGCTTTCAATATTATGCAATGTACGTGTTTTAATGTCCGTCTTGTTTTGACGATTCTCGAGATGACTTTTAATAATTCACGTTGTTTGGGTGGCGAATTTGGTTTGTAGATCAAACAGTGGCTAGCTGTGCTTGCTCAAATTTGCATTTGTATATTATTGAACAGCTAATGGATCTCACACAGAATCACTTTTATTCATTCCAAGTCCGTAAGGGAATAATGGGAAAAATAATTGCATTTTAATTTCAATTAAAATATTTCTTTTTAGACGGAGTTTCATGCAAATCATTTTCAAAAAATCAAAACAGATTGAAATGAATTGATTATTCTGATCAAACAAATCAAAAATGAATTAGTCTGTATTTAACTTGTAGATCATGAATATAAATAAGAAAGTTGACATAGTGTGAAACAGGAAATGCATTTTATTGGAACATGCACCTTGCATTTTTTTTTTTCACAAAAATATAAACAAAAAAATTAACAAAATTATGTTTAAATTTTTATTACTTAACCCTTTCACTCCCAGAGTCAAACCTTGAGTCAATAATGTGGTTGTATCTCTTGAATCTGTGGATGAAACCCAAGTGTGTGACCATTCAAATGAAAGCTATTGAGCAGTACTTTCATGCGGTGCTGTATTTTATGCTGTACAAGGTGATTCTAACTTTTCAGTCTGTAGATGAAACATTAGTGTGTGACCATTCAAATGAAAGCTATTGAGCAGTACTTTCATGTGGTGCTGTAGTTTATGCTGTACAAGGTGATTCTAACTTTTGAGTCTGTAGATGAAACCCTGGTGTGTGACCATTCAAATGAAAGCTACTGAGCAGTACTTTCAAGTGGTTGTTTTTGATAATTTTGTGAACTGAGTGAAAGACCTCCTGGGTGGACACTACACAATCATTGAGTGAAACTTGAATGTGTTCGATGGAACTATATTCCATAATTAATTATCATAATTATTATTAATTGTCATAATTTTTTCTTTAGGTAAATCATGCATTGCTCAGTGCCTGATGAACATGAGACAAATACAGCAAGTGAATCCTCTGGAACTTGTCGAAATGATCGTCACGCTGGTCTGCTGTCTGAAAGATTCATCTGCCATTTCTCATTATTTATTGGCGGATTTCCGAAGTTGTGAAGGTTACCTGTTTCTACTAGAATTGCTGTTAATAATGGGTGAGATGACTGGGAATGAAGCACGCGAAGCTTGTAGGAATGTTGTCCTCCTTGTGTCGTCGCTTGTGATGATAGGTCATGTGACTCTAAGGCCTCTTGTCAGTATTGGGACTCCATTTGAACAGGACATTTCATTTCAAATTCCAGAACCACTTGGTGGAGGTATGTTTACTGGCAAATTTTATGTCTCTCCAAACCATTTAGGAAGAGCTCGAGTTGAATGGGGCATGGGTTGAACGAGAGAGAAGTGACGCATTTCTCCTTTTCTTTTTAACCAAAACGACCCAACCCGCGCTCTATTACTCCAGCACCTGCTATGCAAGCTACGACCATACATGTATATATAGGTACAGGGTTTAGTAGAAAAAGTTGCTTATGAGAGTGTCGACTGTAGTCATGTTATATTATACTGGGTGAACAATACCTGCCAATTTTACATTTCTTGAAAGCCCTTTATTTTCGATATCTCAAACTCCTGATAACTCTGACTGTTTTCCGTTTCCCCATTGGAGGGTTTAGGTTATTGGGATTCTACTGTATTAAATTTAATAAGAGATTATCATCATTGTCATCATCACCATCTGTCCTTTATGTGCCAGTGTGGCATAGGCATGAACATAATTTAATAAGAGATCATTATCATTCATTTGCAGGAAGTAGTGTCAGAAACATTGATGCTTTTCAAGTTCTACAAACTGTATTTCGCGAGGTAAGAAAATTCAATCTAATGACCATTTCTTGAACTCATCTTTTACTTACACATTAATTTATTATTAATTTATTAATTAATTGATATTAATTAAAAAATAATTAATTATTAATCATAAATTAATATTATAATACTGATTGATCATATCATTTTTTGCAGACAACAGACAAGCTCCTTTGTTTAAATATTCTAGACTGCATCAACAGCATTTACTGCTCCGACAACGCAAACTTTTTCATCCTGAACAACAACGCACATTAGCTTACTTTGTCGAAAAAGCACCTGAGAAAGAGACAGAGGTGCAAGAAAGAATTTTCAAATTGTTGGAACTTGTGATTTGCAACCTGAACTGGATTCCTTGCCCTGAGCTCTTCTCTATAAGCATTCTTTTCAAGAACAAAAAGTAAGACATCTTTTTGATAAAAATACCGTAAAAGCTCCATTTAGCCCCCTCTCTATTAAGCCCCCCCCCCCCCCCTCACCTCCTTCCATCAAGCTGATGTAAATGACTTTTCAGCAATATTTTCTGGCGTTTCAGTCACTTTGTATTGAAACGTGATCTTTAATTTCCAGAACTATCGTCGAGTTAGGGTATAAATGACGTTTCCTTTGTAAGACGGTCATACATGACCCATTTCTTGTTCTGTTTTAGTTAGTGATGTAATAGTAAAGTTTGAAAAATTAATGTGAATTTTCTTGAAAATTTATGATTTGAAATAAGCCCTGGCCCCTCTCTCTATTAAGCCCCACTTCTTGAGGCCTGAAATTAAATAAGCCCCCGGGGGGCTTAATAGAGCTTTTACGGTAATGCTACCAAAAAAATAGATTTACTACTACCCTATTATTATTAGAAGGGTGACTTGTGTAGAATGAGTGCTGGTAGATTGTTGAGGCATAAAAATGCTGGAGGATAGCTGTGATGGACTTTCAGCATCTCATATGGTTCTTGGTAAAGCCGCACTCGGGCCAAACTGGCCCACAATGCCAGCGCTTATCCCAGTTTCTGTAGCATGAAGCTGACTAGGAGTTTATTGCTACTCCACCTGGATGAGATGCTAGTCCATTGCAGGTTACCCCCAGCATTTTGTCGCCAGTACCCATTTATACTCCTGTGTAGAGAGAGGTACTGTGAGAGTAAAGTGTCTTGCCCAAGAACACAACACAATGACCCAGGCCAGGGCTCGAACCCGGACCACTCGATCCGGAATTCAACGCGCTAACCATTAGGCCACGGTATCTCCCACCATGTACTAGAGTAGACACTTTTAAATAATTAACTATTTCCATAATATTTTCCTTCCTGCTAGGGTGTCTGGTTGTCATCAAGTTGCCCTTTGCTTTGTCATTCGCATTCTGAGTTTTGATCCAAAGTATAAAGACGTGTTCAGAGTAGTCGGAGTACTGGAGACACTTACAAATTGTCTTAAGCAGTATGCTGATGGTTTAAAGGAAAAATATGACGGTAGGTTTACATATGAATACTGTGTGTAGTCATCACCTTATCTGGCTTAGTTTTATAATTCTAAAACCCTCGGAGTGGGTAGGAAATTAATTTTCAACATTCTTTCTCAACCAGAAACAGTAAAGACTGCAAGTTGCCAACTGGACGAAAATGAATTTGATGATACTGAAAATGTTGTTCCTGATTACCCGTTCTTGTTGATGGGATGTCTCAGACTGTTACTGGAAAATAACCCCACAAATGCCACCTTGTTCCGTGAATGTGGAGGTGCTCGCTGCATCCATAATATTGTGCCATACGCCAGCTCAAGAACAGAGGCTTTGAAGATAATCAGAGAGTTGATTCTGAGTGGTGGAAATGATGATCTGGGTGAGAGGAAGATAGCAACCTTTAGATCAGAGTCCGGTTTTCGTTCTCCTATACCTTCAGGGGAGGAGCGGGGCTCGTGAATTTCCCTAACAGCGGCCAATAATCAAGCCTACATGTACTGATCATTATTTTATAACAAGAATAATTTTGAATTGATTTTGTTACATTGTAGGTACACTCCTTGGCTTGATGCATTCAACTCGCCAGTCGGAGGTCAAGCTCAAGACAGATGTGTTAGATGCCCTGTTGAAGGTGTTTGACCTTGACCCCAGAACCCGAGCAGTGTTTCGAGAGGTTGGCGGGTTTGTGTATGTCATGTCAGTTTTGATCAACATGGAGGGGAGTCTTGCAAATCCAGTATCTCCCACATGGATTGATGGTGAGGAACTACCTGACATTAAAAACAAATGACGTATCCGGCAATCAGAAAATGTTATCATAACTATACATGTAGGACAATCTTTTTTTATGCAACATTTCCTTTAAAAAAAGGAATAATTTATAGACATAATTTATATTAAAATATTTTATAGACATCTCAGGGTACAAAGAAAACACTCAGATTTTCCAGGATGCCGTTTGGGCAAGTTAGAGCCACTGTGTGCTAACCTGAAGGCCTTTCTCATTGGCCTTACTTCATCTGCCAACTAAAAATGTCCAAAATTTACCTGCCCATCGGACAGGTGATGGATAAAATGCACTTGCACGACAGAAAAATCAACTAGCCCCGGGCTATTGGACAGCACTTTCTTTGCACTCTACAGCAAAGATTGGCTTGTATGCTTTGCAATTTGCCATCTTCAATGGTTATATAAATATCTAAGTTCATCAGCTGGTTGGACGGCATTGTCCTCATTGGACTGTTTATTCTATTCCCTCTCAGTTGACAGAGGAGAGATTCTCGTTCTTCTGCGGACGGTCTTCCATGTTCTGACAGCTGCTATTCAAGATGATCCTGCAAATAAGAACTTCATGGATGAGGTATAAACATTTTAGAGTGTACATATATTTGCTTGCATTATTATTTAATAATAAAAAATTGATGTGTTTACTAACTCAGAAGAACACCAAAGAGGTAATAATAAACCAAAAAGGAACAAGGATGGTTAAGGATGGAGAAGATGGAGATGGATTACCATTAGTAGTATTAACCAACAACAAAGTTTTAGATGCAATGGCCTAATGCTTAGCGTCCTGGCCTCCGGATCAAGCGGTCCGGGTTCAAGCGTTGGCCGGGGTCATTGTGTTGTGTTCTTGGGCAAGACAACACTTTACTCTCACAGTGCTTCTCTTCACCCAGGAGTATAAATGGGTACCAGCGACAAAATGCTGGGGGGGTAACCTACGATGGACTAGCATCCCATCCAGGGGGGGTAGCAATACTCTAGTCGGCTTCATGCTAAGGAAACCGGGATAAGTTTTGGCAGTGTGGCTGAGTTGTTGTCCCGAGTGCGGCTTAGAGTACATAAAAACAAAATTAGGATAACATTTTGAATGTTTACCCTGCAGTTGCCTTTGTACAGTTAGATTTCAGGTAACTTATTATTCTTTAATAGCAATTTGTTGTGTTATCACTCCATAGATCCGATTCAGAGGGCTTTCAGACACAATCCGCTTACTTGGTTGCTTCTCCTTGAATGCCGTCAACATTCCATCATGTTGCGCAGGTGAAGAACAGAAGAAATGGAAGCTTTGCGAAAGACAGTTCTCGCAGTCACTACAGCACATACCGCTGTCTGCTCGGCCAAGCGTTGACTCGGTCAAATCTTCAGTGACATTTGAAGGCGCTTTAGACATCGATCCTCGCTCTGTGCTGTTTGCGGCTAATGAGATGTTGAAAAATCTGTTTGACATGGCTACAGATTCGTTCTGTTTGAAGAGTGGAAGCCTCATACCGGTGGGTTTAGCTGGAGCGCAAACAGGAAGAAATGGTCTTGGTATTGCGTACATTTACCATCCTGGTGCAGTGACGGCAGCTGTTGATCTGATGCCCGCTGTGTCAGAAATTAACGGCACAGTTACGTCAGAGGTACAAGTACCATAATTTTTTTTTTTCGAGTAGCTTGTGTCACTGACAGAATAATATTTCTCATATTTCTGCCAAGCTTAAAATATACCATCATTTCTTTCCAAGTACCAGAAATGTTTGAATTATTATTTAGGAGCTTAAAGATGATTTCCAGTCCGTACTGTGCAGTCTCAGTTCTTTTTTCATTTTGTTTTGAATTTGTTGATATGTTACACTTCGGTAATAGCGTACATGAAGTTTTTGAGTCCGCCATTACAGGTCATTATGTTTAAAAATGTTCGATGAGCTGAAACGTCGGTTTGGGATAACGGTTATTCTTCTACTTGTTATTATTGTTTGGCAAGGATATCTGGTGTTAATAATGAAGAAAAAGGTAAGTTTGTCCCAGAATTTTTATTTGGCTAGTATTTACATTCCTTCGTTTGAGACTCAAAAACATTGCAGGGCGGAGATTGCACAGTACGGACTGTAAAATCATCTTTAAAGGGGCAATGTCATGATATGTTAAATAATTTTTAAATAATCTTCAAATTGAAGAAAGCCTCCAAATAATAGTTTACTAAGTAAGAAAAACACCAAATTGGTAATAAGAAACCAAACAGGAACAAGGATGGTTGAGGATGGAGAAGATTAACACAGATTACGAATGAAGAACTTGAAAAATTTGTGCTAAATTTTTCAATGCACAAACCAGGGCACTTATTGGAGACAGGGCACTTATTCTGGATGGGACGCTTACTATTTGCTTTTACCTTGTAATGTCTACTTATTGGAATAGAAAGTGTTTATTAAAATAGGGGCGCTTATTAAAAAATGTTTTTTGTTTGACAAGGGATGCTTGGAGCTGCAGTTATACTGGATTTGTCACCTGCAGAACTTGTTGAAATGCGAACACAATCAACAAGTGATGTGCGAGGCTGGACTTCCTCAACAGATTCTCGACAGATGTGAAGCAGTTCTGATCACGGAAGAACATCCACTACATGCTCCTTTACAGAGAATGTTTGAGAGACTTGCCTCACAGTCTTTAACACCTACAGTGTTGAGGTACAATTGTACAAGTTCTTTTTATATTTTAAAGGGGCACTGTCCTGATTTTAGCATGATTTTGGGGAGCTCAGAAACATATCTAGATCATAGGAAGCTGATCAATAATGGTTTTATTCTGAAGAATAACACTCGACAAATGACAGGAACCCATTAGGAAGTGAGGATGACGAACGACAGCGAGGATGGAAATAGATTGCAATATGGATTTTTGAAAAAACGTCAGGATGTCAGTTTTTCAAAGTTTCAAATTTGGCTCGGAATTTGTTGCAGTATGGAATTTCTTGAAGAAATTGCTTTTTATTATTTAGTTAGAGTTTATTAAGTTCTTATTTCATAGATTTAGGGACCATTTCATGCATTTATAACAGTTTTGAGCAAATACGTCGGGACAGTGTCCCTTTAACCTGCCTAGGATCACACGAGAATAAGAGTTGGCTTGTACAATCATTTTATTTAACTCTCAGCAACTGTCGCCGACCCAAACTAAACGAGAGAAAACTCTCGACAACTCTCAAGAAAAACTGAGCAGGTTCAAATTCGCACAAGAGTCGATGAGAGTCAACAAGAGCGCATGAGAGCACATGAGAGCACAATCATGAGAGTGTATGACAGCACATGAGAGTTTCAGGCCAAACGCTGAATATTTGAGGAGCAATTTCATCTCTCTGCACACCTTTAATTTATTATAATTAACAGGATGCAAAGAAAACATATTTTCCAGGATGTCCTTTGGGCAAGTTAGAGCCACTGTGTGCTACCCTGGAGGCCTTTCTCATTGGCCTTACTTCATCTGCCAACTAAAAATGTCCAAAAATTTACTCGCCCATTGTGAAGTGATGGATAAAATGCACTAGCCCAACAGAAAAATGCACTAGCCTGGGCTATCGGACAGCGCTTTCTTTGCACTCTGTAGTACAGTGAACCTGTTAATCCACACCAACGGGCCACCAAAATGTGGTCGGATTAACAGAGTGATCGTATTAAGGGTTCTTAAATAAGGTAATGACTGACAGAACTTTAGTTCGAACAAAAGATAGTTGTTGTATTAACAAGGTGGTCGTAAGGAGGGTTCGACTGTATTGTGTTACATTATTAAATAATTGTGATGATTTTTATCACAGGGATTTTCTCAGGCTTGGGTTCCCACTCTACTGTCAGTCTCTTGACACTCCAAATGAAACTGCTCAGAATACCACAGAATTAAATGACGAAACAATCCTTGAAGAAAATCCACCAGACAACACAGAAAAAAGCCAAGATCTGAACGAGTCACTGAGGAAGATTTCAGAGGTAACACCCAGAAAAGTGTCAGATATCGTCAACAGAAA